TCGTACATTTTGGCCGTGGTTTGCGACGATGATGTCCTTTCAGTTATCAATCAATTTCCGTTTTGCCAACAAAAATTACATAAGCATATATCCTAGGTGTCTGCATGTATAATATTCTTGATATTAGAATAATATGCATAGGATATACAATGTCAGGCATATCATTAATGGGCTATGCACACCGTTGCTTATGTCATATATATCCTAAATCTCTCATAGTAATTCTAGCTTCTCTTCTCATGTGTTTCTATTAGTTCACTCAATTCTTCTTTTAAACTGTTTATACGGCTACCAATGTAATTCGGCCGATTCCTAATAAATTAGGATACAAATTAATTATCTATAAGAAGAAAGCAGCACTTCATACATGATTGTAAAAGCGTAAATGGTTCTTAATATTTTGAATTGTATAAAATGACAGAATATATCGATCTGGTTTTATTGTAGAAAATGTGACAATTTCTTTAACCTCTGAGAATTGAAACAATATACTCAGTCAAATTTAAAAAAAAAAGGGATTCTATTGAAAATCTTATTTCCGTTTTATCATAAAGGCATAAAGAGATCCATAAAATCATGCTATCAATTTTTGAAATGAAATCCTAAACATTCTTAACTAAGTAAAATTCACAGAAAATAGTTTTCAATATTTCGTTGACTGATTCCAATACTGCATTTTTGATAAATTCTTTTTCGTGGTGTAGAATTTTTAGTGCATTGAAGTAAGAATATCTGTGTTCGTGGAGATTTCATTTCGTGGATAAAGAGATGTAGAGTAGTTATTTAAGTCCTTGTACAAGTATGCGACATTTAATATTTCGTGCTGGAAATGCATCCCCTCTTCTTACAGCAGAAACAACGGACGCCTAAAATTAGCGATTTTACAGTATGTCAAGTTTGAACACTTGTCATTGAGTAAAGAATACTGTATACGTACATAAATAATGACAAGTAGAATAGCAAAATATATTCTGCAATTTTCCATTAAATTAATTCTGTAAAGAATAAAGATACTGAGATGGAGTTTTCAATTATACTTGAAATACGGTAGGCTTAAAAGGTTCAATCTCCAGGTTTTAAACAAGGTATAGTAAGGCATTGTCATAATCAAGATCAGATGTTACATGTGAGCATACCAAGGTCTTATAAGCACTCTTTTATATAAAAGGTTGAATGCAGCCAATATTTTGTAGTTGATGGTAAAATGCCTTGGTAATGTTTTGAACATGCCGATCCATGTTCAGTTTAGAATCAATGAAAATTTTTTTAAACATGATTTTAAAAATTTTTTACCCATCAATATTGATGCTGCATTCATTAAAATAGATAATTCTGTATTTGGGGTAAAGACAATAAGCTCTGTTTTTTTAATCTTGATTCCTCTTTAGAAAGTTAGAGCGCATCTAAGTACTTATAACGGATAGGCAAATTTGCAAACGAGATGCTACGTCAATGTAATTGCTAGGAGGTATTATTGCCATATATAGCTGATAATCATCTGCATAACTCTGGGATTTCATGTTGTGTATACGGTAGTTATCGAAAATTGGCTTAGCAAACAGGCTGTAAAGCTTTGGTCTAAGAACCGATTCCTTGGGAACAGCAGATCGTAGATGGAAGTCTCTAGACCCTGATGAACCTGAAGCAATTCGTTGGTGTCGATCGCTTAGGTATTATTGTATCCATGAAAAGGCCATACTGGTTATGCCAAACGGAAATTCTAGGCGATTGATTAGAATAATGTGTTCAATCACATCGAAGGCTGCAAACAAGTCCAGCATCAATAGAACAACACTCGAGTCCATATCTAGTGCTGATGTTATGTCGTGGTGGACTCTCAAGAGAGCGGTCTCCGCTGAGTGATGAACACGGTATGCTGACTGCTGTTTATCAGGTCAAGGAATTTAAACTATTATGAAAAATATGAAGCAAATCGAACGCCTTTTTGTGTGCAGATCATGAAATGTACTGACCTCCACGGGTGTTTGTTGTCCTAAGCACATTGATCTTGACGCCTAAATTCTTACTTGGGTAGTGATACCTTTACAAAACATGGGTATCTAGATGAAAGTTAACTCGGCAACATGCGCCATCCCATGGTTTAAGTTTTATTAGGTGATTACACCTCCTATACCCGATTTCGCGGATTCAACGATACCCTAATATCGGGTATTATACGCGATTTCACGGATAATACCCGATTTCGAGTATTCTCTCCGACCTGTTTAATGCATTTATGAGTTACTACATAAAATACTACATGTGTTTTTCGAAAAGGCTAGTTTTTTAAATTGCTCTATCTCGGAAATATTTGATGCATTTTCTCAAGCATTTACACGCTTTGCATTATGTACATTATTACTTACTAATCCCATGCTCATATTTGCATACAAATGATTAACAATAATAAAAATTGAAGTTTTTCCCACTCCATTGTAAAGGTCCGTTTGTTTAGAGTTTCCCCGTGCTGTACTGCTAGTGGACATTTTGGGTTGGGTGAACATTTACAAAATAGCGACTACGGATCTTCAGTATGGAGCGCATTATGCACAAAAAATATTTTAAGTCAAATACAGTGTATATGAAGTAATTTAAACTGCTATTTTTACACCCTGAATGGGATATAGTAAAACATCCCTTAGGGTTTTTTTTAACATAAACTACACAACATATGTAGATAAAACTTACATACCATACAATTTTTCCTTCTTAGAAAATATAGTTGGGCTAATAAAATAAAATTGGGCCAGGAATTCCAGGCCCCTAAAAACTATTCCAGTTTGAGGGCACAACCAAGCATTTCGGTGAACACCATTAAGAAAAATTAATTCAGGTAGGTAGCATCGTTTTTTTAAAGAGGGTGGGGGATAGAGCAGTTATAATAAAAATCGACTAGCTCGAAGACACCTGACAAGTAAAATAGGTTCCAATATCTTTCACTACTAAATTTTATTCATTTACTACAACATTACCCTATTTAAATATACTGCAACAAAAATTGGGAAGGGGGGGGGGGGTCAAGCGGGAAATGTTCAATGAATATTTTCAACAGTAATTTTTTTACATTTGGGGAACATTTCCCTTAGCCCACTGATGCTACGTGTATGTTCCTTCACAGGCTAAAAAAGGTCATCAGATGTACTTATGTGGCGGGGGGGGGGGGGAGCTCCATAAAGTAGCTTTATATTCTGTACTTAATTATATATTGCATGATTACTAGTATATATAAGGAGGGGGCTCCACTGCCCTCGTTTAGATTCATAAAACCATGAATTTCATATGTCATTATTAACAATTCATTCCTAACATCTCGAAAATTTTATGGAATGCGTCCCCAGTATTTCATTTGTCGGAGAAAAACTCACTCCAGCTTTCAGCATCACACATGTTATTTACTCGTAAGTTTTATAACCTACATACCGATCATGTACTGATTTCAAATTTACAATTCAGAATTTGAAGCCAGGATTTATAATCACGTTATTTAGAGCCAAACTCCAAATTTCACTTTCGAATTAGCCCGAGCCAATGCTAATAACCTACTTGCAAGATTTTTTTATATTATTTCAAGGGGTCAGAAATACTGTGGTTCATATGTAAAGAATATATTTATATTATTCAGTAGTATTCTGGTTTTGGCATTTGGTATTTTGTGCAGATGTATACATGATATTCTGTGGAATACTTTTTTTTTTTTGAACCATTAAAAAATGCAGAATCTATCTAATAATCATTTTGATTTTTCAGATTATATCATTTGTTTGTATTAGTTGTTTCATTTTGGCACAACATGGTTCCACACTTCTTTATCCATAGTCGCTGACAGCTGTTGAAGTTCACCCAACCGAAAATGTCCAGTGAAAAGACAATTGCACATGATTATTCCTCGGTACAAAAAGCAACCAAACTCTGAGGTGTGCTCAAGTATTGACAATCCCTAACTCACGTGTTTGTAGTAAAAACGTAGTAGACCATCATGCTTTTCGGTTCATTCAAGAGATTGGACCATTGTTTGCTGTGAGCATGCGAGACCACGTGATCATGAATAATTTAATAATTTAAGTTTATTATCCGACTCGGAGAGAAAATAATTTTTACCAAATAATATTTCATAACTTTTAAAAGTGATGGAGTGGAATTGTCTTATTTGCGGAAAGTATATAACTTATATAACTTGATGAGACACCACATATACTTATTTCTTTTAAAATAATACACTAATAGGGCATATACATGTATAGCTTTAACCTCATCTTGACATTTTAAAATTCCTGATTAATTCGTCTACGTCTTTAAAAAGTTATCCAATCTCTTAAAAAGAAACTATTTTTCAATACATTTCAATAGTAAAGCGTAAAAAAGGTATTGACAACAATACCGCGTTTACAGTAATATAGCATTAAAACTACGTAGGCAAATCTAATAAAAATTGCAGATAATACGCTGTGAATTCTAAGGAACATTATATCAAATTTTCACGATAAAATTATGTTTTCTCGTAAGAATTTTTATGCAGTAAACCCGCGACCTACCGTAAAGACGTTATAAAAATTGAATTCTTTCATCTATCGAAATGACATTCTGTTTTCATTGTTTCTGATTGTCATGCAGAGTTGTAAATAATAGATAACTAAACAGAATTCGCACCAAAGCTTCTTTAACCATCTTTTTTTTAAAATTCATTTAAAATCATGTGAATAGAAAGTCGTTTTATGGATTTTTCCTCCAATATCATGCAGGTAGAATGCATAAAAAGTGTCTCTATTCCGATTTCTAGACATCGATTTTTTGCAGTCGTTGTGACTGACACTTTCACAGGAAACAATTAAAAGTAATATATAAAATATCGAAGTATTGTTCTCTATTTTAACTCTATTGAAAAGTGGTTAGGTAACTAGTTGAAAGGAGAGCGGATGATATATAATGCATTAAATATACCCTTTCTGATATCAACTGTTTATCGCTGTATCATTAACTGGCGTCATGCATTGATGAGAAGAATGCCGGCGCGAAAACAGATGGCCGATCGGGCCTGTGTCTTTTGCTTGCTTATTTTATTAGGAATACCAAACAAGTCATTTGAAAACTTGACTTCAGGGTATTCTAAGTTACATTATGGCTTTAGACTAGATAGGCGCATGATAGACTCCTATGTCGAGTACAGTATTCTAGACTGCGTCGGAGAATGTCTCCGGACTTCTCGATGTTACTCACTAAATTATTACAAAGGGGCAAATTACTGTGAACTTAACTATGAAAACAAGACCACTGTACCAGGGAAATTTGTTGAGAATGTAGGGTGGATCTACAGCGAAAGAGAAGACTGGGATAAGGTAGGCAAACTTTATATAGGGAACACTTCTGATTTAGCTATTGGTAAAGCTATAAAACATATTTCATTTTCTTGTATAATAATAAAATGTGTATTTAAGATTATTTCCTTTACTGGTAATTTTTTATGCCAAGATTCGGAGATGAACTCTTTGTTTAGTACTGTCCCCTTAATATTTTGTGCTATTTGATGGACATTAGTCTTTTACACGACATCAGACGGTGGACAAAACTTAATAGAAAACACTTGTAAGAGTAGATTAAAATAATCCCATGGATTTTAGTTTCCAAAGAAAGCACAAAGACCGGTAACATTCTATAATTAATTTTACATAAACATTTCATGTACGAAAAGGAAAAGGGGATCAAACGCAGTTATCGAAAGAAAGAGATGATTTTCATGAAGCCTGGATCTTTATGGGGCTCATTTGAATCATTTGATTCTGAAAGGGAGGGGGGCTGGCAAATTTTGTTGAGACAGAATATTCATTTTCATGCTAGTCAAGAACAGGTTGTTTTTTTTTCAAGCTTATCAAGGTCTTAATACATGTATTAATTTTCTTCTTTGCCTTACGGTACCTCGATCAATTGATATTAACAAGTGATCTATAGTTGAAAAAAAAGCAAGTTTTTTTTCTTTTATTTTTAAAGATATTTTTTGGATTATGTTTCATGATTAAAATACTAGTACTAAAAGCCTAATCATTTATATACTTTGTATTTATTTATCGTGGAATATCAATTGCTAGGTATAGTTCATTGACAAGAAAATTTATCTTTTGCGGTGCATAAGAATTGACTGTATTTAAAGATGTTTATTGCTTGCAGGCTTTACAATTTGTTATTATTCTTTTTCCCTTTCTTGTTTGAAGAAGGTAATGGAATCAGCCGAGGTTTGCCTAAATCTCTTAGTCTTGTTCAACCAGACACTCGACTGTCTCCGTAAATCTCCGATCAGCAGATCGGAAATTTACGGAGACAGCTAAGAGTCTGGTTGAACGAGACTAGAAAGCTCTCGGCCAGTCAAAGTTTACGGAGATAACCGAGCGACAACCGTGGTAAGGCTAATGCCATTAAAAAGCTAATGTTGAAAAACAAAATCAAGAAATTCAAAATGATTATACGGCCTGATAGGTTTTAATCGGTTTACTGTTTAGTTGTTGCTAAAGACGGTAAGCTTTTTTAAAAAGTTCTACTTGTATAGTTTTTTACTCAATGTAATGAAGCATTTATAAAATTTAAAACTGAAAAAAGTAAATGTATTTCACACTAGTAAACAAAGTAAACTACTGCGTAGTATTACGACTGTTTACTTCCGCAATAATATTAAATCAGACTCGGTCAAATTCGGAAAATTCTAACGGTTTTCTAGACTTAGTGTTTCTTAAATTTTTTTTACTTCAAAATAAATATATTAAAAAAAAAACGTGAAGGCATACTACTTCAAAGTTTTGTTTTTAGCTCACCTGAGCCGAAGGCTCAAGTGAGCTTTTCTGATCAAAATTTCTCCGTTGTCTGTCGTTGTCGTTGTTGTTGTCGTCGTCGTCGTAAACTTTTCACATTTTCATCTTCTTCTCAAGAACCACTGGGCCAATTTCAACCAAACATGGCACAAAGTATCCTTGGGTAAAGGGGATTCAAGTTTGTTCAAATGAAGGGCCACGCCCTTTTCCAAGGGGAGATAATTATGAATTTATTAAAAATTAATGGCATTTTTAAAAAATCTTCTTCTCCAGAACCGCAGGGCCAGGAAAGATCAAACTCATTTGGAAGCATCCTCAGGTAGTGTAGATTCAAGTTTGTTCAAATCATGACCCCCGGGGCAAGGGTGGGGCCAAAATGGCCGACCCAAGTTTTACATAGGAATATATAAGAAAAATCTTTAAAAATCTTCTTCTCAAGAACCACTGGGCCAGGAAAGATGAAACTCATGTGGAAGCATCCTCAGGTAGTGTAGATTCAAGTTTGTTCAAATCATGACCTCTGGGGCAAGGGTGGGGCCAAAATGGCCGACCCTAGTTTTACATAGGAATATATAGGAAAAATCTTGAAAAATCTCCTTCTCAAGAACCACTGAGCCAGGAAAGATGAAACTCATGTTTAATCAACCTCAGGTAGTGTAGATTCAAGTTTGTTCAAATCATGACCCCTGGGGCAAGGGTGGGGCCAAAATGGCCGACCCTAGTTTTACATAGGAATATATAGGGAAAATCTTTAAAAAATCTTCTTCTCAAGAACCACTGAGCCAGGAAAGATGAAACTCATGTGGAATCATCCCCAGGTAGTGTAGATTCAAGTTTGTTCAAATCATGACCCCTGGGGCAATGGTGGGGCCAAAATGGCCGACCCGAGTTTTACATAGGAATATATAGGAAAAATCTTTAAAAATCTCCTTCTCCAGAACCACTGGGCCAGGAAAGATGAAACTCATGTGGAAGCATCCTCAGGTAGTGTAGATTCAAGTTTTTTCAAATCATGACCCCTGGGGCAAGGGTGGGGCCAAAATGGCCGACCCAAGTTTAACATAGGAATATATAAGAAAAATCTTTAAAAATCTTCTTCTCAAGAACCACTGGGCCAGGAAAGATGAAACTCATGTGGAATCATCCCCAGGTAGTGTAGATTCAAGTTTGTTCAAATCATGACCCCTGGGGCAAGGGTGGGGCCAAAATGGCCGACCCGAGTTTTACATAGGAATATATAGGAAATATCTTTAAAAATCCTTCTCCAGAACCACTGGGCCAAGAAAGATGAAACTCATGTGGAATCATCCTCAGGTAGTGTAGATTCTAGTTTGTTCAAATGATGAACGCCTGGGGGGGTGTAAATTCAAGCCCGATGTGCTCAGGTGAGCGCTGTGGCCCCTGGGCCTCTTGTTTTATTATGGTGATTAAAAAATAAGTTCTTAGCAAAAACACTATAAAAGATCAATTTGTGAAATCGAGCATAAAGATTATTTTGACCCCGTCTTTCAGTACTGTCTCAGTATTTTGATTTCTAAATAGTTCCGGAAAGACTTCAAAATTGCTGAAAATGTGCGAATTTTATCTTGTTTTAGTGATCGACCTAACGTACCTCGACTCGTAGGATTCGATATCGAATAAGTACATGACATGTATAACCTAACTCAAACGCTAGTTGAATGAATGAGGTTTCAGCTTTGTGAAGAACATTTATCAACCTCTCGCGCAACTAGTTGTGGAGGGAATATTATGTCATCGCTGCTGTGCGTGTGCTGTGTAATACCGAGTCCGTAAAAGCTTGTGGGATTGATTAAAAGAGAATCTTTGAATTGTCAATTATAAGCTTCCATATACATAGTTTATTGTCGGCCGAAGGAGGGGTCGATCTATTTGTAGTTGAGTTAGAATGTGCACGTGGGGAATTGATTGATGTTATAATACCCCCGCCTGAAAAGCGGGAGGGTAAATAGTTCTCATTATGTCCATCCGTCTGTCTGTTACGCTTTGGGGTACCCATCTCTTATTCGCAACTCCTCTCATGCCGCGCTCTGAACAAAATTTGTTGAAACTTTCACAGAATCTTTATTACATATCGCCATTTTGGACCTCTTATTTTATTTTTTTAATGACACATGTTTGGGATTTCCCACAACAAAACATGGACACTCCTAAAATTTTCATACGGGAGGCGGGGGTATCATTTAGTGAGCTCATTGCTCACAGTACCTCTAGTTTTTCATCGCTTCCATATAAATTCTGTTTGTACTTTGACTTATATTAATGATTGTTTTTATAAGTTTTGAATTTTTTAAAATTTATCATCAGATATTCATTTTAATTATTCATGAATTTATTAAAAAGTGTTGCATGTACTGTTGCCCAAGTGCGGAGTGCGTTGGATATTGAACAAAATGTATTGAGTTTCCGGGTATGAATTACAGTGCCTGAAATAACTTATAAACTTGTAAACTGTTTTTTAAGATGAAAAGAGTTTTTAATACGTTAATTATACAGTTGCAATTAACACAACAATATTGGTATTCTAAATCATGTTTTACTTGGATTCATACTTATATATTTGTTTCGAATATTTGCGAGTATTGAATATTTTTGAAAAATATTCTAGAAAAAAAATTGTTAAACATATAGTGACGGGTGTAACAAACCTTACTAGATAATTCAATAAAAGAATGAGTATTCTACCTCTTTGTTCCCGCGAATACTGCTTTCCGAGATGCAAAAAGAAGGATATGGAGATAACGAACAGTATTCAATCTCAAAGTCCATAAAACAATACAAAATTAGAGCAGAGGAAACACGGACCCCGAGACATCAGAGGTGGGATCAGGTGCCATGGAGGAGTGAGCATCCCCTGCCGACCGGTCACACCCGCCGTGTGCTCCTTGTCATGGTCAGGAAATAACAGGAAAAATCCGTCGTCGATTCAGTGTATAAATAAACAAGAAAAGCTGACAGAAGTGAAAATACTAAAGCAGAGATATTCTATGGAAATTGTTATAATTAGAGATGGTTTACTTAATTTGATAAATTATATAACTAAATGTTTCTTAAAATCTTAAATATTTTTCATTATTTAGTTTGAGAAACAAAATAATTAAATCAACAACATATTCTTATATATAATATGAAGAATTAGTTTTGCGGACATTTATTACAAAAAAATTTTGATTAGCAAGTTTCATTTAGTCAGCAACAATAGAGAGCACTTGATTCGATGCTGAAAATCGACTCGAAACTAGGAAAATAGAGTGTTTGTGTTTCCGACTGTTCTGTTCCTGTAGCATATTGTGGGGAAATTCGGTACCTTGGATTTGAGAAGTTGTGATATAAAGATTAAACAACAACATTTGGAAATTCAAACATATTTAGTGGTGTGCAAGACGTAAATACAACACCCCTACTAATGTGTTCGGAACCTTTTATTTTTCGGTGTTCTACAAATTATAAAACCCGATGAGTTCAATGTAGCTCTGACAGTGGCTCGAGCGAGAGTTAGCGAGACTTTAGCGAGATAGGGTAAATTATTCACGGAAATATGGCTAGGAAGTGACTAGCACGTGGAGACATGGTAAACAGAAAAGTTATGTTGCGTTTTAGTTTTCATCACCCTATGAAATAAACTTCAATCGATCTTTCTTGAATTCATTCAATTTTAAATTAGAAGTAGTCTCTATGATACAATTTTTCTGCTGTCATGAATTAAAATTTCTTTTTGGACAAATATTTTGCATGGGAACTGGAACTATATTTTTTGGCGTCAGATTAGCAAATGAAGCACCAATGTGACTTAACTGACAAATCGGATGAATGAGAATTGCATTATGGGTTACCATACAAATACTACAGGAATTTTACGCTTGATAAATTCCTTTATTGTAGTATCGGTGAATACAATTGTCAGGTGGATTCCCTGGCCAACAGGTGATCACGAGTATTGTTATGTAAAAAATGCTTTGTCCATATAAATGCATACGAGAAGCTGCTCGTTTTCCTTACCCTTGAAGTGCTGGTGTTCTGAACTTGACACTTCTATGTATATACATTTTATTAAACATATTTTTCTCTAATAAACAACAAATTTAAAACGCCCGTGACATTTTTCATAGTTTCTAATGTCTGCATTTTGTTCATAAGAACATTTTTTTTTTATTTTGCACTCCATTGATATGGTCATAGATTGACCTGAACCACGTGTTCGATGTAACATGTAAACATGTATTTGGCGTAAACGTGTTCATTAAACGATTGGTCAGTTGCTCGTGGTAAGATCTCCTGTGCGCATTAATAGCAATAGCCATATAAGGCAAACAAAGGTTTGTCATTGTAGATGATGTAACACATTTTACCAGCTTATCGGTCTCTAATGAGCTGTAATTTTGCAGTAAACTATGATAGGGTGTATTAATTGTTATTTACCCCCCCCCCCCCCCCCTCTACTCCTTAAGCAACCCATTTCTGTTGAAAATCATGAAATTCTTTCAGAAAGGTGTGGAAACACATTTTTCACAGGACATGTTTTCAGAAGAAACAGACTATAGCAATGTCCCATTTACTGCCAATTTTATATAAAACCTAAACCACGTGTCTTGAATTTAAATCACAATAACATTTGTAGGGGTGTACAAACTGATTCGTAACCGATGAAATGATTGTATATGTCAGCTATGTAAATGCTTTGTTTCATACCCCCCCCCCGCTTTTTGATCGGGAGAGTATATAGTCATCAGGCTGTCCTTCCGTCTGTTCGTCCTTCTTTACGTCCGTCTGTTACACTTTGGGGTTCCCATCTCTTATCCGCAACTCCTCTTATGCCACTGAATAAAATTTGATGAAACTTTCAGAGAATCTTTTTTTACATTATGCCATTGTGCACCTCCTGTTTTACTTTTTGATCACGTATGTTGGGTTTCCAACAGCAAGACATGGAACTGTCATCATATTCATATGGGATGTGAGGTTATCATTTAGTGAGCTCATTGTTTACAGTACCTCTATTTGTTTTTATATTCTATAATTCAGGAACACTTCCTCAAAAGACATGAAGATAAATTATCAGTTAAACTCTGGTCGTACGCTTCCTGCTAACGTGATGATCTTATTTCAGGAACTAGCAGGACCGTGCTCCAGTAAAGTTTGTAAAATCAATGAAAAATGTATCAATGTCGGATGTAACACTTCCTGTCAAATATCAGGTTTGTTCATCTTAAATATTTTTGTAGCGGCAAGATATTAAAAATATTGAAAATTTCCTTTATCTATTTTTTCTATTGTGAATTCTTTTTAAATCAATAACTGTTCGTTCATTACACTTTTGAAACATAATATGTTAACAATTATGCCAAACTGGGTCTTCTGTTTGATAATTATTCTACTTGGTTTAAATAGTCAATCCTTGAGAAGGTTTTCCTTAAAATTCGGTCTTTTAAAAACTTTTTTTAAAATGTTACATTTCCTATTTTTTCCAATAACAGACTGTGGGATCCCTTTCACTACAAGGATGACGTCAGACAGCGTGCAGCGGTGGGACGGTATCGGTGTGGAAAGACGAATTCATGTCAAATGTTCTGAGGAGTACCAGCAAAGCGGAAGTGGAATCTTTATCTGTAACAGGAATGGCAAATGGAACAGTGACATGAGTTGTAATGGTAATTTTTTTTCTCGTAAACTTGAAAATAGCTTTTTCTTCATGTGTGCTTGATATATATCGATAAGTGTTTGGCTAATTTAAGCTGATGTATATTTTTATTTGTTCAGTGTCCTTAAATGAACTCAAGAAAAAAAGGAGATATGCACATACATGAAACATTCGTGTTTTTGTTGAGCTCTTACATGAAATTTCGCTTACGTGGAGCAGTCGTTAAAGGCGTGCAATTAAAGATTTGATCCTTACCTCGCGGTTCTAATTAAACAAGGGCACGTAAAGACAAGTTCTCCGGATACAAGGTCTTGTTGAAGAAGGTACCGGTAGGATCTACAAGGTCATCAGTGCGGAGTACTGGTCTTGTGTATTGCTTGATACCAACTGGTATATTATAAAGACGCTCTTTATTTTCTGTTAATGACAAAAACAGTTTTTCAAGGGAAATTTTAAATTATGTAACATAAACAATCTAGATTACACGATGGCCAATAGTTTTTGAACTTGGACAAAATAAGAAACTTTCTTCAAGCTAAGATAAAAGATTACGTTAAAAAACGAGTATTTTTCCCTTCAAAGTATCATATACTTACTTATCTTGCATAATTGCTTTTAGGGAAAGGACTGGGATGTTTTGAAGACAACTCTGCCAGGATCTTTGAACCTCGTGGTTTTGAGAGATTTAGTAAAACAAATAGTCTCACTTTTTGCACTAGACACTGCCTTGAAATTGATAAAGAATTCAAATATATCGGACTTCAGGTAAACTTTCTATTTTTTAAAGAGGAAGCAACTGCTAAAGACTGAACATTAAAATGATTTCTGTTGTAGAATAGTTGTCAAAATACAATTTATCATTGAGTCATATGCTGACTGACGTTTTTCATACCAATTGTTAGTCCATTATTTATACACTGAATTGACGACGGATTTTTTCCGTTATTTCCTGATCATGACAACGAGCACACGGCGGGTGTGACCGGTCGGCAGGGGATGCTCACTCCTCCATGGCACCTGATCCCACCTCTGATGTTTCAGAGGTCCGTGTTTGCTCTGCTCTTATTTTGTATATTCTTTAATGAACGTTGAGATTGAATACTGTTCGTTATCTCCATATCCTTCTTGTCGTTGAATTCCATTCTCTCAACAATTAATCTCTTATTTTAAAAAAAACGATTTCGGAGTTTGGAAAATGCAGATCATAACGGCATTCTTCTAATTGCAGTATCAAAAGTGTTAATCTTTTTTTAATGTAATTTGTAATCCCAAGATAAGAAAAGAAGATTTCATCATAAAGTTGATTAAAAAGATGATAACATTGACATAATTTCCTAAAGATAAATTCAGAAGTCAAATAAATCGTCATTATACCTAGCTGCAGAACTGTAGCTCTCTGCTTGAGAAAATTCGGACAGATAAAGCAGAGAGGTACAGATCCAAGCGTTTATTAACCTTCGATTTACGCCGACGAATTTTTGTCGCTCACGATGGGTATTTTTCCGTGTATTTTATACTTTCCTCAGATTTGAAAATAATTTTAAATGGTATTTAAGAGTCAAAATCAGCAAGCATCGAGCATTGAATGGAAAGTCAAAATTTTATTTTTTCAAAAGCTTTTGGTATGTGAAAGATTTTGTCTTACCTAATGCTAAAGCACAATTAATTTTTTTTAACGTATGAAGGGACTGGTATCCAAGGAAATTCATTTCCTTAGCAACAGGTTCATAAATCCTTATGAAAATCAATGATTTTTAGCCATTTTTCTATGAATATGTTTTCTAAATGTGATAAGATAAGATATTTTGGTTACCTTATTTGTTGAAAGATGGAATTACTTTATTCTCCAAAAATAGGAAAAACAAAATATCTGTAGTGATATCGTTGCCATGACAACGGGAAAAGAACATGGCGTCAATGCTTATTAATTTTGAAAAAATTACATATGTTTTTCACTCCATACACAAAATCTACAACCACCGCTGGAAAAATGAATTCTGTGATCTTGTTAGGGGTTATCTATACGTCATATCTATACAATAAAATTTGCAGGCAACTTTAGTAGAAAAGAGTTACAAATGGTTAAAATAGGTGACAATCTGGCATTTATAAGCTTTTTTGAAGGGCTGGAGTAAATTGAATACATGTACAGTGTCCATTATATTGGTCATATTGGTTCTGATCAAAGCTTACTCATAATTTTTTTATTGTTGATAAATAAATGCACATTCAATTTCAAAAGGAGTCTTATATTCCTCACAAACGAAACTTAGAAAAGGGGGGGGGGGGTGTAGGAATCACCTTGTTCACACATCCATATATGTAAAATTTTGACTTGTCCATATTATTTCAAATGAAAAACCACTGAAAGATCATACTTGATAATTAAATTGCTTATGATCTAGAGATGTGTCCAAAACTTGACCCAAGGTCATTTGAACAAGTTCAAGGTCATTGGAATAGAAGAATAGTGCAATCTTTGCCCATTCTGTAACATTTCTAATGAAAAGACTTGAAGTTTTATCTCGGGGATTATTTTTGAGCTGTAGGTTTGTCATGACTCATGACCTTTACCAAAGTTCATTTGGACATGTTTGACCTTGACACAAGGACATAGGTTTTCCATGGTCACTGCAGTAAAAGTGTACTATATGAGTTTGGCACATTTACATATTCAACTTCGAATGAAGAGAAATTGGAAGTTTGTGCTCAACACAACGGTTTTACTACCTATGACTTGAGTACATGTCATAGTCATTTGGGTATGTGTATCTGCATTAGCAAAATTTTAAAAAGGTTTTAAATTAATATTTGGACCTTTTTTGTAATAAAAAAACATTAAATGCAATAGCAGGAGGGTTGGTTTCATTTTATGAGCTTGCCCACAATAATTCTAGTTAATGAAAGAGAGTCACTATGACAGCTCACATAATTTTAAAGTAAAGCCACAACAATCAGGCATGTAGCATCAGGTTTGGGTTGGGTAGGGGGGAAAGACTATCTAATTATGAATCTGCATGCCAAAAATTGATAGTTTTTAAATTTACATCAATAAAAGAAATGCTAACAGACAAACAAAGAATGTTACTTTTGGATTGAATATTTTTATTTGATCCACTTTCATGAATACACTGTACAATTTATGGATCTATTTTCTGTGAGTCTCCGGTAACACTATCCACTCATCAATGGTCTATACGGTAAGAATGTATTCTCATAATCTAAAAAAGTGATAAAATTAAAATGTAATAATATTACGGTACACAGCTTTGCCTTCATATACTAGGAACCATTTCTTGAGCAATGATGATGAATGCAAAGCATGTTTATTGGAATCAATTAAATTCCAAGAAATCTCAATGGTTTATCATTTTATTTTAAAAATTTAACGTTTTTACTAAATGTATTATTTACATGTTTTTCCTGTCTAACATCCAATTCGGTTTCTGCATCTTTACGAGTTTGGCTTCAGGGTGCCGAATTTCATTCTAAAAACACAAGTATACGACACAAAGTTGAGACCGTATTGATTTTAGATATTCTTTAAATTTAAAAACTTGCAATAAAAAGGTCAACTGGTTCTAAGTTTTGTCAAAACTCTAAATTATGTTTTTTCATTTCTTTCCAATACCCCCCCCCCCCCAAGAAAAAATGGCGTATAGATATTCATTTCATAAATTTACGTGCTTTAAATCTAATGATGTTTATTATTTGAACCTAGTTATCTTAAATTAGTTCAGTGGTACCGGAGAAAATGTTAGCTGAATATGATTTTTTTTATAAGTAAACACTGGATGACATCAGCGAAAAGTTATTTTTTTTAATTCATTATTTTACTGTGGTATATAATTTTTATACAATTCAGTTACCACTAGTCCACTACATAATACAGTTGTCTGTATCAAAATACTTCCAAGGTAATCCCCTTTCCTTAATTAAGATATATTAAGTATAGAGTTAACCCCTGCCCCCTTTTCATTTTTTTTACGGACGCCATAACAAAGATCATTCCATTTTACAAATATTTCATAATAGTGTTGGTTTTCATAAATTCATAAATTTTCATGTAAAAAGCAGGTATTATCTTAAATGGTAAATAAAGATATCTACTATTATACATACAAAATATTTATTTATCCGACTTTCAATTATTGGTGAGTGACTTTGATTACATACATACCGTGAATACAATAAATTAAAAATGAACTAAATTCAAATTAAACTTTATAATTTGGGCTACAGTTATGTGACTGATCATGACCAACTTTTTCACGTTAGGCCCGCAGAAACAATCTACGTTGGGGGATTTAATTTCATTTGCTCATATTATATAGTTTCCTATCGACAATATTATTGAGGGGGGGGGGGGCATACCCCTCCTCCTGGTGCCTCAGGCCATGCATAATCTTTTCCTTTTAGTTATAGAATACTAAAGTAATGCTAACATATCAGAATTAAATTAAAATGTGCAAAAACACTTGCCAAGTGTTACATATTTTACTGCATGGTTAATTTATGCTACACATTCTTAAGTAACTGTTGTAATGGTAAATTGTAAAAATTTCAATCACTCACCGTAATTAAGACCCATGAAAACGCCAAAACTGAGGCTCAGACTGCTCCAAATTTGTAATTTTCTGCTAGCCTTCTGTACATTGTTATTGAAGTGAAATGTAAGCAAACTACCGTTTATTCCTCCTATGTTAGAGAGCAATACCAAAGGGAGGTAATTTGAAGCAAAAGTGACAGAAAATTATGGATTTAAATCAGTTATCATATATAAATGCTTTAGTTGCCTGCAGATTTTTTTCTTGATTCCTCTAGAACAAATACTGTTTAATAAATATTTCATGTTGATAAGCTTTAATGTAGTTGTAGATTTCTTATAGAGTACCTCAAATTTGCTGTTTTTAAAGCAAAATAAACCTCCAAAAACTATTTATATTTATCAATAGAATTTTAATAATCAACAGTTGTTAAAATAGAGTATATTTATATAAATAAAATAATAATTTAAAAAGCTTTTTTTATGACTAGTAATAAAAGAGTATTTGTTTAACCATAAATTCAAGTGTCATGTTAAAGTACAAAACACGCTCTCTGAAAGGCGCGTGGTTTCCATAGCAACAATGCGAAAAATTATTTTTTGCTTGCTTTTTTCTAGCATACCCTTTGTTCTGAAAATTTATATATGAGTTTTAACCAAATCTGTTTCTATGCCACTTTCCACATTTATTAACTAAATGCTCAATGCTTGCTGATTTTGACTCTTAATAATTAATCATACATTTAACTTCACTTCCTGATTATTTACATACCTTTTAACGCTTACAAATGTCTGTTTGTGGTTATGTACGTGAAATGGAACTCCTTTAAACCATATTATAAAACAATATATACGAGTACATGGCTATTTCGGACTATTTAAAGGTAAACAAGCAAAGTCAAAGAATTGTGGTCCCCCACTTTCGGTGTCTTTTTGGGTGAGATGTTATTTTTTATGACATATTTGTCTAATATGAACACCCTATAATATGTCATTTATTTAGAAATTATCATTGAAGTTGATTTTAAAAAAAAAATAATGTCAATCGTGAAGTTCAACGTCAAGGGATAAGAAATCATAGCATGCTCAGTATTATCTTGTCACAGGTAATGCACATGTCATATATGAAAGCCCTATCTCTTCTCAATATAAGGAACAAGATGTGTTTGTAAAACACTGATGACCCCGAATGGCAACATAACGAAGATTAAAATTTTCTTAAATGCGAATTAAATACATTATTACCCAAAAGTAGGGTTTTTCT